GATACCAGTGTTGCCACTAATCTACTCCATCCATGTGCGGAATTTTCCATCTGTGTGCGGAACAATTTTTTATGTGCACCAAGACATGTGGGAATGTGCACCACCAGTAGAAACAAAACCGAGGCATGGGTGCTCTGCTAATCAGTTGGGTGGCATTTGAATCCCTCCTGAGTGGCTGCCCAGGCGCTCAGCTTACAGGGAACACTAGTGGATACCAGTGTCCTCCCTTCCGGCACCAGGCTAGAATTCAATCTACACTTCAGCAGGGCCTTTCCCAGCAGTGGCTGGTTGCTGTGGTGGGAGTAATCCTGACCCCATTAAAGTGAATGGCAGAATTCCCATGGATTTCAGTGAGACCAGGATTTCACCCTGTTTCCTAATCTGTGGGAGGGAATAGTGCACCCAATGGCCACAGGGGGAGACTGAGAATCAAGACGTCTGGTTGCTATTCTTCTCCCAGGCACTGACTTGTTGTGTGATCTTGGATGAGTCACTTAGTCTCACTGTGCCTCAATTTCCCCTCCCATGTAAAACAAACATGATCTTTCCGTTCCTCATATAAGGGTCATAATAACAACCCTATAAGGCACTTAGGATGTGCTTCTCATCCGGAGAGCTCATGGTGCTTTGAGCTCAAGGCACAGAGAGAGGAAGTGACTTACCCAAGGTCAGCTGATTAGTCATTGGCGGAGCTGGGGCTGGAATCTGATTCCCAGGCCTGAGTCCTGTCCATTCATGTGGGAACAGTTCATGCCTGGAAAGCTCTTTGAGCAACTCGGGTCAAAGGTGCTACAGAAAGGCAAAGAATGAATACGTGCTGTGCATTAAACCAAGTGTAGGTAGAGACTATGACCTTCTCTTAGAGGAATTAATCTCCTGATACTTTGCTGTGGGAACATTGGATTGCTTGACTGACAGAATGGGAAGGATGTATAACTATGTCCTCGGTCAACTCTAGAATTAGTCTAGTTCATTTCAGAATTTGCATCTCAGGACGATGGTTGCCTTCTAGGGAAGCAGCCGGTCTTGGCCACTGCTGGGGTCACCATAGCAGGTTTGAATGGCCTGACAATCTGGCAACCCCTCTGTTCCATGCAGAAATTCCATCCATCTTAATGAACACAACAGCTCACTGAGGAGCAGCTGGTGTGCCATTCCGATGCGCTTTGTTGCATGTATTTGGCTGCCACGTTTCACTCCAGAGGTGGCCACTCTAGGTTGGTGGTTGAAAAGCTGACAGCGTGTGATTTCGGGGGAGGGGGTCTGGATGTTTGTTGCCCAGTTCTAGGGTTTGGTTCAGACCCATGGCTAATTCTGGAGTGGGAGAGTGAAGCACATTATCTATTATTTGTAGTAAGGCAATGCCCACAGGCCTTAAACAAGATCATTTTGCTAGGGGTGGACATACACACAATGAGACAGTCCCTGCTCTGAAAAGAGAGGAAGATTATTATTCCTGTTTCACAGATGGGACCTAAGTTATGGCCCGTGGAGAGTTCCACACCTCAAGCATGTTTTTGCGCAAATAAATTTACAGTAAACCAAAAGAACAGAGGGGTATTTGCAGTGTAGGTATTCCTCTTTCTATGAGGAATAACTCCTTTTTGCACAAGAGTTCTTGCGCAAAAAGGTGTGTGTGGATGGACAACAGGGGTTTTTTGCGCAAAAAGAGCCTATTGAAAAAAAGCACAGGTGCTCTGGTGGCTATTCTGTGAATAGCAATCAGGAGCTTTCTTTCACGAGAGCATCCATGCAGTCTGGATGCTCTCCTGCGCAAGACGTTTTTGCAGAAGATGTCTTCCGCAAAAAGCTTCTTGCACAACAAGCCTGCAGTGTAGACATAGCCTAATGCCTGGAGAAATCAAGTGACTTGGTCAAGCTCATTGGAGAAGATCACAAAGGCAGTCTTTGCATCCTGGATTCATGGGTCTGAGTCTAGTGTCTTATCCACAGTGGCCTCTCTTTTATTCATAATCCTCAGAGGGGTCACTGTGTTAGTCTGTATCTGCAAAAACAATGAGGAGTCCTGTGGCACCCAGCAGTCTAACAGATTGATTTGGGCGTGAGTTCTCATGGGTAACAACCACTGCATCTGCATCTACTGACAGGTTTTTTACCCATGAAAGCTGGTGCCCGAATCAATCTGTTAGTCTTAAGGTGCCATAGGACTCCTTGTTTTATTCCTAGACACTTTGGGATCCTTTAGGATGAAAGGTGTTTGGGAGATGCATGGTGCAAGAGTCTGCAAGGGCTGCAAAGCTGGCGTTTTATTATTGTTGCAAATCCACAATTAAAACACGGTCCTGACCTCCGGAAGGATTAGAACTATCAATGAATACATTTTTCTTCCATGGGACCGAACTAATTGTTCCCATTCCCATTGTTCCCAGAACAATGGTGCCCTCGTAAATGAATTCAGTAGAGACAGGGGAAGGGGGGGAAAAATCCTCCATACTCTTAAATAATACCCCGAGCCAACAAAAACCAGGAAATTCAGGGCTAGCACTCACACTTGCTCGCAGATGTGTAGAAAACAAAACCAAGTGGCCAGCACTGGGGCAGAGCGTGAGCTGTAACTTATGGATTTCCTGGCTTTCTCCCTCCGTTTGTCACAGAATAAACAGGGCTTCAATTAAAGGGGGAGGGGGTGGATCGGACTTAATTCCCTTAATTTTCCCTTCAAACAAACAAACAAACAAAAAGTAATAAATCCCTGTGGGTCTGAAGGCACCACTGAGTCGTGTGTGTGAGACGCCTGGCCTAACCTGTGACCTTGGACTGGTGCAGCAGGGAAGCGCCAGGAGGCATTGCCCTACTGTGCCCTACTGTGCCCTGAAGTCTCCTAGAGCAAATCAAGCAGAGCATCCTGGCTACTTCACCAGTGAACTGCCGCTCTGTCTGGGAAGGGCGAGAGCTCTCTGGAGCAGTGCCCTTCACCAGCCCTGGCACAAGGGAGACCCTGAGCTCACTGGCAGCCTCTAGGTGATATTGCAGTACAAATAGGCTGAGGTGGCCAAAGAGATGTCCAGTGCAAGCTTTTTGAAGTTGTGCCATGACCCTTGTGATGTAGTCATGATGGGGTGGAGACTCACAAATTCATCTAATGCCAGCTAGGGTTGCCAGGTGTCCGGCTTTGAACCGGGCAGTCCGGTATTTGAGCTTTCTGTTCGGGAAACAAATTGAGAAAATATAAATGAGAAAATAGAAATGTCGGGTATTTTCTAATCAAGTAAGTTTTATTATTATCATGAGTATCAGTATGTAGTTGTGTACTGCCTGGCTTGTAGACACATTCATGCTGCATGAGCATGTCTACCAGCCAGGCAGTACGCAACTACACAGTGAGGGGGAGGCAGGGCCGAGGCAGGATGGAATCCCCGGGGCCGGAGTCGCCCGTGCGCCCCGCTGGGACCGTGCACGGGACGGGCAGCACTCCGGGATCTGTGTGCACCCGGGCCAGCCCCACTCCCCACTGACCCCTCCTCCCCCCGGCCAGTCC